GGAAATTAACTCAGGGAAGAGGAGAAGCAAAGTAAAGGATTGGGGGTTGGGAATTGGGTTAGGGCATAGTTTTCTTGGATTTAAAAATATATGTGAGGATATAGTGGTAACACACATTCGAACTGGATAAGTTACAACTGTAGGGCATTTGATTCCTCTGTTTGGATTCTGAGGGCAGAGTTTACTCCCACTCAGATCAGAGCTTTTAAGTATGGCCCTGGCCACATGATGATATAGCAGGAGGGGTTTATATCTGTGGACTTTAGCCTATAGATTTATTCAGTAGAAGAGGCTGGAGGACCCTTCTGGCCAGTCTCGAGGGTAAAAGGGAGAAGGAGTTCTACTTATAAACTGTTACAAATTGGCCCTCAGTAATGGCTGTAGTGTTGATCAGACGATATAAGGGGGCCCCCAGTGATTCCTGGGATAACAGCTGTATGTAAGTCAGCCACTGAACATTTGCTTGTAGCCACTCTAGATTTTTGTTTTTATTGAAGGAAAAGGAGTATAAACATGGGACACACAGTCTGGAGGCTGCTTAAAGGGTTTCTCTTGTTTAAAGCTTATATTGAAATGTCAGTGTCTTGTGTTAAACTAACAATTGCCACCTTGGAGCTCACAATTTAAACCTGTGCTTGAGCATCCAAATGGTAACTAATATTTCTTCTGTTATAAAATAGGCTAATAAATAGTTACGTAGGTCCAAGTTGTATAAATTGGAGGCATAGAAGTTGTCATTCGTCTTTGAACTGGCTTTAGACAAGCAGATGGTTTTCTTAGAGCACAAAATTTTGTAAGTGATTATCACGTTTCCTACTAAGTCGGGGAGGTTGTAGTCCAATTATGTATGCAGACGCTTTCCTTTGAAACATTTAATATTGGAGTAAATATTTACATTAGCATCAGTCTCTTTTATGTAGACTTGATTCCTGTTTACATTTATGTTCACAGTTAAATGAAGATTAACAAATGGAAATAATTATTTTAGCTGAAATTTCTATACATGTGAAATGATTTCTCAATTATGCTTAGAGTAGCTTTGGTCATGCCTTCCAGTGGGTGACCAAGACAGGAAGTTGCTGGCTTCCAGCATGTTCTCAATGGTAAAGGCCCCACTCTGACATTGTACCCCCATTGCTGGGCACATACACCTCCCTCAGTATACAGCAGAGAGGGGCATTCCGTGTGTTCTGGAAAGATACAGGCTCAAACAGAAAGCTCCATGTTTGCTCATATAGCTAAATTGCATTCTGATACTTCTTTCTCCCTTTCCTCTTGCTAACTTTTGTTTTTGCACATATTGGGCTAGAAAACTTTTAAGTTTAATTGGGTAAAACTGGAGTTTTTCTATACTTCATAATATTACTCATTTCCTATCTAACTTTTTAGCTAGCAAAATTTCAGTGTTGTAATCAATCTTCATTAATAGGGTATAGAAAGGGTAGGTTTTTTCCTCTGTCTTTTAATTTCAAAGTAACCTACAAGGCAAATTGTGCTCATTGTAGAAAATCTGGAGAATATAGATAAGCAAAAAGGAGAAGAAAAATCTAGAAGTTTCATTCGAAGATCCCATCTGTAATTCTTAATTAAAAAATAGGGCTGTACTAGCCTATTATATCCTTAATGGAATATTGTAATGGTTATTAAATCAATTGACTCTGAATCTCTTTTTAATAAATGAGTCAGACTGTATTATCCAATTACTGTCAGCTGCTACCTTTCCAGAGAGCAGAAATGGTTATTTTGATTGAATTTTTTAAGCTTTTTGGCACCTTTAGGAAGAGGAGGGGGAAAGGCACAATTCAGGTTATGCTTTGTGGGCAGCATCCTGAGTAGAGGTGCTGATAGTATCACATCAAGAACACTGGCTTTAAAATAAAACAGCAGTTACATTTACCGTTCTTTACCACCTTATACCAGATGGGGGAAGAAAGGAGAGAAGCTCAGTTTTGAAAAGAAATGGGGTTTAACTCAGCCAGATCTCCCCCAATTCTAAGGGTTTTCAGAAATTCTTTGAAAAGTCAGACATAGCTCTCAGCCATACAAAGGTAATTATGGAATTAGAAGAGAACAGTTAAGGACTCTGAATAAGGACAAACTTTTGGAATTCTTATTATAAATAAGGTTTGTTTTCTGTTACTACCTGTGCTGCCCTCAATTTAAAAAAATACAAAATGAATTATATTAACAAGTTGTTAGAATGTTTTGTGTTACTATCTCTCTTTCTCATTATACATTTGAACTTGAGGTAATAAGCAAATGTGAAGATGGTGGGAGTAGGGAAATGAACAAAGGTGAGAGAAAAGGGAGGACTCTCAACGTCTACCTAAGAGTGTATTGGCTTTTGCTCATCTTATAATATGCTGTGTAACAATTCATATGTATTTTCTCTCCTATGGAAATAACTAGGATATCAGTTTATTGGGAAAGACCTCACGGTGTAACTTAAAAATAAAAGGCAGGTAGAACTTCCAACATTTTTTTTTTTTTACCATTACAATGGACTTTTAAGCTGTAAAAAGAGTTCTGAAAATGCTAGATGTGATTGTTATCGTTGCTGTCACTTAGTGCTTTCACAAATAAAAGACAGAATATGTAGAAAATAAGTATGCACTAATAATGCATAAATACCTTTATGCCTGCATATCACCTTTTTGTGAATTCCCTTGACCAAATTTGGGTTATTTAACATTTTGGGATGCAACTTCTCCTTTCTGTGGGTAAGAAATACATAAAAATGAATGAGTACATTTTCCTTGCACTCATGTACATATGTCTGTCTTATTTTTCCTTCTCTTATTTTTCCAAACAAAATACTCATAGTCAAGAAAGATAATATTACATTACAGAGCATCCTAATGTGCACAATTCACTTTATGCTCACGTGACAGTCAATCGTTATCCCCAGGAAAACCTGCCAGATCTGTTATGTTACATCACACCTATTGCAAGTTTTAAAATTCTGGAACAAGTGTATATCAGCTTATATCCATAGACCATCTCTTGGTTCTTGTGCAAAACCCACATAATTTTAAAAGGAGATGAAAACCCTTAGTAACCTTCTTACTATCCAAAATAAAGGTATGTAGCATTAAGGAAATAGAGAACTTTTAAAGTTAGCAAGTATTTCTGAAGATTAACTTGCCAATCCAATTTCTTACAATAAATAGTGTTTTTTCTATTTCTTAATGTCTAAAATCTGGAAATTTTTTGGTGACTTCGGGATTTAAAAAAAAGAAAGAAACAGATGAAAAAACCCTTGATCTTATATAATCCCTAAAGCTTTTTGTATAACCCCTTGTCATGTCAGTATGCACAATTAAACTCCCTCTTACATAATTATAATCAAGGAATTTACTGTGCCACCCAGATACAGAGTAGGTTTTTATCTCTTGTGAAATGTAGACAGTACTGGGTGGCTTAATTAGTGCTTTGCTTCTCTTTTTACAAATTCCAATCCTCTGCTTCTAAAGACTCATACTTGTATGCGAAGAAAGATTAGGAATACAAATAGAGTGATTTTACTCCTAGTTAGCTAATAATACCTCACTTTGTAATTGGGATGTGGTATTGCCAGTAATATCAGCTGGCGAAGGACTTACACATGCATATTGTCTTTGAATGAAAGCAAATAACTGCAGTGTAGACTTGTTACCCTTATAATGTGACGATGTCTTTCATTCCCTAGACCTAGAATATCTTAGTAGTGTTTTTTAATCATCGCTAATAGGAGAATATAAAAGTATAATGTGATAACAAGCCAGGTTAAAGTGCAGCCTCTACCGTTTAATAAGTAGTCTTGGAAGTAGTGGATGTGTGCCCCACCATATCTATTAAGATATGGTCCGTGAGGCCAGAGTGCCCAGGTTTGAATCTAGACTGCCTGCGTTCAAGTTCTGGCTCTTCCAATTATGAGTCCTTGTGGACTCAGAGCAAAGTTACTTAAACTCTCTGTGCCTCATTTTTCTCATCTGTGAAATGAGACTAATAGTAGCTTTTCTCATAGGGTTTAAGGGCAATTAAATGAATTCGTGTCTCTGAGCCGTTCTGAAACACAGCAAACACTAAGTCAGTGTGAGCTAGGCTGCTAGCTCTAGTGCCCCTAGTTTTCTATATCTTACAATTGCACAGTGAAATAAGTTAGGGTAATCCTTACATTTTAAATCCTTAAATTTTAAATTTTAACTTTAAATGTTTAAAATCCATCAATGTTTAAAATAACAGTGTCTTTGTGTAACAAAACTCTCCACTTTATATAGCAATGTTATGACATCAAAATATTTTTCTGCTCTCTCGTTCTTAAGATATCCAAGAAAAATTCAGGGCTAGTCAAGTGAGCCTGGAGGTCACAAAAGTGCTTTGGAGAAACAGAGGCAGAGTCTGGTTCTGGGGGTAAAATTGAAACTGTCTTACAGAGGTAAGGGAGAGATGAACTAGGAAGACTATGGGAGACTAGAGGTGTGAAGCAGAGAAAAGGGCATTTGTAAAAGACTGCCCTATTGATGATACTTCAAAATTGCCAGAAATTCTTGGAAATAGAAAAAGATAGTTTGATCCACTGAATACCACTGAAGACCTATGGTTAGAAATAGACACTTCCAGGACCTTCTAGATAAGTCAGAGGAGCATCACTGAGGAAGAAGCTGTCCACACTCTTTTATTTTAGGACTTTGGAAATACAGAGCCCAGAATATCATGGTAATTAGAGAAAAGGAAATGCCTCATTATTGACATACCAATTATATTTTAAAAGTTTAATAAAATGCATTAGCCCTAAGATAAAATCTGACTCCCGATTATCTTTGGATTTTAAATTCCAGAACTGTTTTACATTGATATAAACTCATGAATAATATGAAATAACCAGAAACCATATGTGCTACTACATATGTATATTAGGTGATGGAAATAGTTTAATATATGCAATTAAAGATAACTCTCTAGTGTATTAAAGATATGACAGGTTTTCACCATTTCTGTTCATGTGTTTTCCTTGACAGACGAAGGACTGAACCATGAATGCAAACTCTGCAGCCAGACCTTTGACTCTCCTGCCAAACTCCAGTGCCACCTGATAGAGCACAGCTTCGAAGGGATGGGAGGCACCTTCAAGTGTCCAGTCTGCTTTACAGGTGGGAAGATTATTTCAGGAAGACACAGGAGAGGCTGATGGCCACATCATGTCTTTCCTACCAAAGCGTTACTTCCCACTGCTATGGCCTTTTACAGACATGACTTCAGTTCACTTTGGGGGGAAGATGTTTGATTTCTGCTTTATTAGCATTATTGATTGCAGCCTACTTAAAGGCTCACATGAGCAGGAAGGTTAACTGTCAGGATGAACAAATGGCATTTCAAGTTCTCTCAGAAGTTTGCACTTTTCCATTTGGAAAACTACATACATGTTGTGTTCACTTTTTTTTTTCTCTCGATGTTAAAGGTTACCAAGGGTAAGGCTCCCTGCACAGAGCTGCTTTTTAATCACAAGATGTTCAGCTAAAAGTGCAGCCTTGTTGTCAGCACATGTCTGCTACTTAAACATGGAGAATTTCATAACATTCTCCACCAGAAATAAAAAGATACCGTTAAAACTCACCCCAAATTCTCTGACATAGAAAACAGATTAGATGAGGCATTTGTTGCCTATGAAATTAGACTTTTAGAGTAGAAGTTGATCTCCATTTACACTTTCAAGAAGAAACTTTTTAACAAATATGATAGCATTACAGTTTTTAGCAGAAAAAAAAAAAAAGTAAATCTGAAACTTTCCTTTGAAGCCCTTGGGGGTTGAAATATGATCACACACATTTCTGGTATTCCCCTAACAATGACAAAATTATTTTAGAAAATCGTCTGTGATTATTTTGCATGTGTTTTGGACTCAGTGGTTAAGCCCCTCAAGCTATGTTGCCTTTTTATTTGTTGGAGGAGGGGGAATATATCCTTCTCTCAAAATTGACTTCTTTGTTTGCAGAGCAAAATTCCAAGCATTGATTATTTACCTTCACTGAACTCAGCCTATAGATTTCTGTTATGTGATAAAATAAAAGGAGAGGGGCCATGTTCATTGCACAGTTAGCACAATTACTACCTGATACGTTGATGACTCTGCCTTCAACAGTTGCCTGTTTGACTCCTTCATTCAATAATTCCATCAGCCACTCTTGATCCTTCTTTTGGAACTCTTTTTATTCTTCCAGGTTTATACTTAAAAATATATACTGCTATGGTTTACCATCAGTAGTATATCTCTTAAGATACAATGAGTCAAGAGTCTGGGTTCTTTATAAAAGCTTGTAAGTCTTCATAAAGGAGGACTGGGTCATAGGTCACCTCACAACTAAGACCCCTAATAAAATAGGTCTTTCATGTGGTAGCCAGAAGCCTCATAAAATGTATTGAGTTATATGCAGATTAGCTGCAAATCTGTGTAAAAACCTCATTTCTTCTTGTTGATATGGATAAAGAGACAAAAATGCAGTAATTGTACACAGTCTGCATTTTCTCTGCAGACAGACCTGAATTGTTTTAGTGTATCTTGAAGTAATTTAGAAATAACAATTTTTTTAAAACCCTTCCAATATAAAGTGTGTTAGGTGGGAAAGGAAATCTGAGCAGTTTTTTTAAGGTAATGAGAAATGTGATTAAAATGTATGACTCACAAGAACAATATTCTAATATTTTAGGTTGGCTGGCAATTAGAATAATTTTAATGATTAGAGTAGAGTCAAAGTCAAATGCCAACATCTTTAATAAATCCTTTCCCTGCCTATACAGATTAATATTGTAGATGCAAACTTTTTTAGGTCACAGTGCACCAGGCATCCATCAGAAGTCAGTTCTGCCAACCCAAACACTGCCTCTGGCATATACAATTTAATTATTAATAGTATGTCTCCTAGGTAAACTGTTACACAGTCTTAGGGCCTTGTTTTGTAGTCATTAAAATTGAACATGTTTATATTATTGAAACCCTTGCATTCAGTGTGTAGGCTGAGTTGATCTTAAAGTATCCAAAGAGAATTTACCTGCCATTCTGTTTCACATTTATAGACAGTGCCCCAGAGTAGCTGTGGGATATGATTTTTAGCATTAACACATTTAAATAGAGAACTGTTTGCTAGCTATAACTTTAGGCAAACACAATAAACAGGGTTTTGGCATCTATGATTTCTTAACCTGTGGGTTGCTGAGAAATAGGAGTCATTTCTGTTGAGACAGAGCTATGCATTTGACAGTTTTCGGCTTTATTTTTTAAAGATTTATAGGGAGCAGGGCCTCCATAAACCTTTACTTTGGAGCTGTTTGGGTTGAATTAGGTGCTCTGTAGAGTGCATCTTAACAAAAGCCAGAGACCCAACCATGAGCAAATGTGACTCAGCTCTCCCCAGGTCTCCAGCAGTAAGTCACACCTGGGAGGCGTGCGGTCCAGCCTGCTGTGTTCACGCGGAGTCATCGACTGAGGGCATTTCGGAAACAAAATAACCCAAGTTCACCGTTCTTTTATCATTTCAGTATTTGTTCAAGCAAACAAGTTGCAGCAGCATATTTTCTCTGCCCATGGACAAGAAGACAAGATCTATGACTGTACACAATGTCCACAGAAGTTTTTCTTCCAAACAGAGCTGCAGGTAATGTCCTCATGAAGAGGACTGGGATTGAACTCAGTTGCTATTCTTATAGGAAACAGGGGCATTTTAAATCTGGATTCACAGTATCACTCACCCTGGGCCACCATGATGCTTTGTGTGTATTGGGGCAAAGGGAAAATTAGAGCCTGGATTAATAGACACCAAAGTAATTTTGCCTCTGGCTGCTGTCAATCATAAAAAGAACTAGAACAGACCTATAATTGGACCTTCTGACCCAGTGTGATAGACTTAGGGGTCAGATTTATTGGACTGTGGGATCATTCACCTCGCTTGTCATGACTCATTCTCCCAAATCCTGTTTTATTCATGTTCTGTTCCCACTGGGCTCCAAGCTGGGTGGATGTCCAGGTTATTGTTGTCCTGAGGGGCTTAAAATTGGAAGGGAGAGAGGAAGAAAAGAAAGAAATCTACTCTTGTCCAGTATGTATATCTTCCATTTAATGGAATAGAATAAGTATTACTTAACTAAAGCCTTATAGTTGAAAATTTTGCACCCAAAGACATTGAATCTAGCCTTGAGTGGTCCACTTGATTAATGTGTGACTCTTGGTCTGTAAGTCCTCTGAACCTCAGATATGAAGAAATAAACATCACGCTTACAGGCTGTTATACAGTGAAAATGAAATGATGGGTACGGATATAAGATATAAACACAGGAAGGTTTGGTTTTTCTTATTATTCTTAGCTATAGACTGGTAGTTTTAAAAAAATGAGTCAGAGACCTAGATTCTATTCCAGAAATATCACTTATTATAAAAGAAAAATAACTTATTTTTAATATTACTTCACCTTGAAAATGGGTATAATGTCTTATCCTTATTTTTCTGATGAAATGATCTGAAAGTAACATGCTTTTTGTTCGATCTTGTTGGTTCCCATGGAGGAGAATAGAGTCGAACTGAAAATTATTCTGTTATTAACAGTATTACTATTAACAACACAGGTATTTAGCCTAAGATGAGGGTTGCAGTTAATTTTCACGTTGAATCCCTGAACCAAATAAAGAGCTGATCTGGTTGACCTGGGAGAGGCAAGACTGAGGGACTTGGAGCCCACCCATTCCTCAGTCTTCCATCCCACAGTGGGTCCTGGGGCAACTTTGTGCTTCCTTGGGCTCTGATGAAACGAGATTTCTGTGAGTTATGTGTCAAAATAAGGAATGTGCAGTTTATCTTCTCAGTTATCATTCTAAAAGTGAACAAATAGTAAGGAGATGAAATACAAAATATAAGGAAGAATGGGTGAGCCCATTTAGTTGACATAATGTGTCAGTAGATCCAAATTAAAGTTTCTGTCTTACCTTGTATCACGTCTAAAAATGCTATTCTGTCACATCTGTTCCTGAATTGAATATAGAAGATAGGCCAAGTTAGACTATTGTTTAAAAATACATCTTATTAAAATAATCTAAATTTCTGTTTAAAAAAATACTACATTTTTATTGCATAAGTATGAAAGCATAAGTCATTTTGGTTTTGTGAATCTATAAAGGATATGGCCAAAATACTTAGTAATACTGTGAATTAGTATGTAAACTGTGAGGCAGAATTAAGTAATCATTTAAAATCAAAGCTGTAGAGTTTCTGTAGAGACTGATTCCTATCTAGTGTTCTTGAAAACAAAAATGTTTGCAACAAACTTCCACTTTTGTACTATATGAGTAGATTCTCACCTGGCAGTACCTTCAATGTCTTTCGTTAAAAGAACTCAACACTATGGTAGCGGTGGCCTCTGCCCCATTGTAGAGCAGACAAAATGAAGCAATTAATCACATCCTTCAAGATTCCAGGTTTCCTTTATGATGATGTATTTTTTGGGTTTTATTCTATGTGGAACATATAGTAGTCACTCTTTTCTACAATTAGCATAGACCAGTCACAAACTGCTTGATCTCAGGATGCCTTTACATTCTTAGAAATTATTGAGGACCACAAAAAGCTTTGGTTTATGTGAATTACTATCATTTTCCATATTAAAAATCAAAATGGAGAAATCTATTAAATACAGGAATACAAGCACACATTCTATTAGCTGTCAGAGAGATGATGTCATCACATGTTAGGCAGCCTCTAGAAAACTTCACTGTACCCTCTTGAGATAATGAGAGTGTAAAGGGCAAATAACATCTAATATTATTGTGAAAATAGTTTGACCTTACAGACCTCTCGAAAGTGTTTAGGAGACCACAGAAGTCCCTGGACCACCCTTTGAGAACCACTGGCATAGAAATTTTAGTGCAGAACACACAACTCTTTTTGAGTATTTGTGACCTTTTTAGTCAAACATCTGCCAAAACATTTCTGACTCACTCATTCAAATTGTGATCTGGGCCAGAGACTTACTCTGTAATCCAAAACTGTGAGCCTTATATTTCCAATCCCACAACTCGAAATTATATATATTTGCTCTTGATGCAAATACTCAGGTTTAATATGTGAATCATTCCCTAGATAAGAACAGCATTTATGGTATGTGATAATGATTATGAATCTGAGATGAGATATTGACTACACAGTCAATATTTCACAAAGCTATAATTCATAGTTATCGGAATCTCTATGTGGGTCTATTTTCTGAAATCCTCAATAATATCAGTGGCTGTAGTTTCAACACATTAAGAAAAATGGATCAGAGTTAACTTAACTTTCTAGTTTTGAAAGTGTTTTTATTTTTATATTTTAACTTTTGGCATTCATGGTCCTGTGCGTTTGCTTTCATTACCCAAATTGCATTTATACCAGTGCTTAGAGGATGGAATTAATGTAATTTTGAAATATTGATTTATTGTATTTGCTGTATAGAAAATGAGATGGTAAGTGTACAAAAACCATGAAACATTTTGTTGTTTTCCTAGGACAAGTGGAAAAAAATTTTCTAAAATTCAGGTGACAATAGAAAATAGGATCTATAACCAAAACAACAAGAGAGTAGAAAAATGAAGCCATTTTATCAGCCCACTGTAGTTCATGCCCTGGTGTGCAAAGTAAATGTAAATTTTAAACCACTTGAACTCATCTACTTTTTTATGCCACCAAAGTTAAGAAATAAGAAGGACTTTTCACAAGAGACTATAAAACTAAATGTCTAAGAACTGCAATCCTATTAGAGATTTTAAAGCATACAATTTATTTGGCTTTTCTATCAAGATGAGAATAATAGGTTAAGTTTAGGCTAAGCATTCTGGAATTGACTATCAGCATCACTATGGATATCTTTTAAATGTACATAAATGATTTCATGACCATAATACATAATTTACATTTCTTTCACTTTATACCCAGTTGAAAATATGAAGCATTTTTTTGTGAATAGAGCTTTGTTAGTTATAAAATTCATATATATGTATATATATACACATATATATGAGGGAATGTTAATGAAAATTACTTGCCACCATATATACACACACACACACATATATATGTATATGGGGATGTATAAGTATGTGTACTTGTGTGTATATATACTATGTGTGGACATATACTATGTGTGTACACATATATATAGTGGTGTGTTTCCTTCATTTGCACTGCCTACAAAGCCAGTCAGAATGTAGATAATTCATTATACACTGTTCATCTTCAGGAGATCAAGCACTCAGGCACCATCCTTTGAACGTCACAAACCACAAGTCCTTTCAGATTTAGGCCAGATGAAGCCCTTATTTCTATGAAACATTTAATCCGAGTCACACTTTTTGCCAGTGTAGAAGTTATGTTCATCACACAACCCATAAACCTTGCTGACCAAGTGTTCTGCATTCCAGTCCAGATATATGTCTGGACTGGAATTTTATATAATGTATATAATATAAAATTATATCATTGTACATATATATACACATAAAAATATAATAGAATTTGTAGCAAGATATAACCTTTCTCTTTTGGTAGAGTTTCCCTCCATTTTTGCAAGAAATTCTAATACACTTCAAAGGCCACCTAGCATGCTGCCAGGAGAGGAGATGTGCTTTGGAATAAGAGTCCATTATTTCAACTCAATGAACATTTTATTATTTTTTAAGTGAATGAATGTGTTCAATGTTTCACATGTTTTCCTAATAGACCTCAAAATTTTTCAGCAGAACCTAAGGAAGCTGCTTTGAGAGAGGATGGTATGGTCCAAGAATAATATCCTACAATGCATATTTGTATCCAAAGTGGTTTATGCAGGTGTGAGCAAGTGGTGTTTGTAAAAATCCTGTTGAATAGGCCACATTCTTTCAGTACACTAATTGCTGTTTAATTGGTGCCTCCAGAAAAGCTACTATTGGATGGCAATGATCAAATCATCCTCTCTCCCGACGTGTCCACATAGAAAATTCTGTCAGGCCTCTTGTTATAAATTTAATGAAGACTGAGGGAATTCCTGCAGTATGGGTGGAAGAAATTGGTCTAGTTGAACTTTAGGCTCTGAAATTCTAGTATTTCAATTCCTTTTGAATCAAAGATTATCTAAATACCCAGCCCTTCCCTTCATTAAGTCATGAGTGCAATGTTTCCTACATTCAAAGTACAGTAGTAATTTGACATTTGAGGGATACACCGAGACTTTCAGAAATCTCTAAGGTTTAAATGTGTAATTGTCACTATAGCTGTTTGATTTTCTTCTCAATCACTTTTCCACCAAATCACCTGATTCTGATGCATATTTTCACACCACAGTTTAACTGGTGCTTGAGTTTTATGGTCATATTACTGAAGGAAAAATGAATTCCTGCATATGGGATGGGACGTATAAGACAACAATACAGCATTGAATTGTCCCCATTGAGTGGCTTGCTGGGTCACTTGCTAACTTAGCTACTGATCCTAAATTAGCTTCTCAGTGAGTATAACACAAAATCTGTCTCAAATAATTAAATAATGCGTGATGAGGCATTTAGGAGTCCTTGTTAATAGTCAGAATTACAAATGCTATATTATATACTGCTATAGTCCCCATGCCATTATTAAGAAAATATACTTATTAAAAATACT